GATTTTGACTTCAAATGATGATGAAAAAATAGTAATCGAGATAAACGATTATTGCATCATATACCGCCCCCTTTCCAGTTGTACACATTTGTGGCTCTGCAAAGCATGTGAAAATGACTAAAAGCATGTGCTGCATTGTAACGTTTGGAGCATTGGATGCGCATCATTCATTGATGTACGTTCGAAATCGAATCATTCATTTTTTTAAAAGCGCAAATGAGACTGCATGCTTGATTCTTCAGTGTGTGTGCGCGCTTGGCCTCGGAGACGAGCAGAGCACACACATCTAACGCCATCTTAATGTGAGTGCTTTAATGGTCAAATACATGCACATTTGTGTCAAACCATTTTAAACATAACAGATTTAATAACTCATTTCTAATAACTGATTTCTTTTATATTTGCTACAATGACAGCACATTATATTTTACTAGATATTTTTCAAGATACTAGTGTTCAGCTTAAAGTGACATTTGAAGGCTTAATTAGGGTAATTAGGCAAGTCATTGTATACAATAGTTTCTCCTGCAGACAATATATATATATATATATATATATATATATATATATATATATATATATATATATATATATATTAGGGCTGCTCGATTATGGGAAAAATCATAATCACGATTATTTTGGTCATAATTGTAATCACGATTATTCAAAACGATTATCAGTTTAAGTCAAAATTATTCGCCCTTCTGAGAATTTATTTTTATATACAAATATTTACCAAATTATGTTTAACTGAGCAATTTTTTTACAGTATTTACTATAATATTTTTTCTTCTGGAGAAAGGCTTATTTTTTTTATTTCAGCTAGAAAAAACAAATCAGCTTTAAATATTTTGAAACCTATTTTAATAGCTCAATATTATTAGCCCCCTTAAGCAATATATATTTTTTATTGTCTGCAGAAGAAACTACTGTTTCATAATGACTTGCCTATTTACTCTAATTAAGCCTTTAAATGTCACTTTAAGCATATTTTCCTCACACTTGCATAGATACATGATTTATTTATTATTTATTTATTTTTTTTGCTTGTTAGTTTGATTAGTGTTGATTTCAAATACAATAAATATGTTTGTATAAAACTTGTAGTAACGGTGCTCATAATTGGTGGGTGCGACTAAATTTTGGCTAATGCGCACCGGTGCTACCAAGCAAAAAGGTTAATTTCGAGCCCTGTATATATATATATATATATATATACATACATACATACATACATACATACATTGCTTAAGGGGGCTAATAATATTAACCTTTAAACTGCTTTTATTCTAGCTGAAATCAAACAAATAAGACTTTTTCTAGAAGAAAAAATCTTAATGGAAATACTGTGAAAAAATCTTCTGTTAAACACAATTTGGGAAATATTTATATATAAACTGATAATCGTTTTGAATAACCGTGATTACAATTATGACCAAAATAATTTTGATAATTTTTTCCCCATAATCGAGCAGCCCTAGTTAAATGTCAAATACATTTGTCTTTACGTTATTTCTTTTGTCAACCGTCTTTGATGTTGTTTTTCCTTTTAAATGGGAGATGAGACTCTGGGCTCCTCATTCATTTAAAGGTGTCTTATTTACTTTAAACTAATGTTACGGGTCTGGCTCGCTTTGTGGAGCCATGTAAAGTTAGATACGTAAGAAATGCACAAACAGCAATAAGAATTTAAGTTGTTAAAAAAAAAAAAAAAACTAAATAAGTAATTGTAACATCTCAATCAACGAAGAGTTTAGATCCAAAAACCTTTAAGTGCCATCCGAAAATGTCCTCTAAAATGTGTGTTTTTTTTCCTCAGCCTCCTATTTTACGTTCAGTTACTTCCCTTTAAAGGCAAATGAAAGTAACTTATATTTTGCACTAAGAGAACAATAACTAAAACTACACACAACAGCCTGAAAATAATGCAAACTTTAGATGGAAATTTCAGATGACACAATAGCTTTTGCAATCTAAACTCAAGATAATCTCATTAGTACATTAAATGTATATCTCTTTGGCATATGTATATTATACACCATCAGACCGCCCAAGACTGATGAAAACTAAAACCAATCTGCATACTGGCAATACTCCAGTCCAACCATGCAAAAATCTGCAAAATTATATTCACCATCCAAGCTCAAACCTCAATTTCCATTACAATGCTCAGCATCCACAACCCGAGGAAAAAAAGAAAAATTCAGTGAGACTTGAAAGCCATTGCTGGAACTGCTGAAAGGAAGGCAAATGGTTTCGCTTTTAGCCCTTTCTAGCTCGGTGTGGTAAAACGCAAGTCACTTCCACACAATAAAACTCTGAGTGGTTACAAAAGTGTAGAAGCAGCGAAAATAAACTGCACAAATGGAAAAGAGAGGAGGTGAGGGAACAAAGCTGGAGCGCACGCTGGATGTGGTTTAGAGGATGTAACTGTGGTTCTTTGTGTCAAGGAAAATTTGCAGCGCTGACTCCGATACAACTCTCGACTAGTTCAGATTCCTTTTTTCATGAGTTATGAGGCCATTCAGAGCTTTCCTGATGTTCCTGCGGATACTTTGTGGATACTGTGTACAGCTTCAGGCGCTTTACTGGTTACCGGTTTCATCATACATGCCAACAATCCACACAAAGCCAATACGTGGATCAGCTTAACATTTTACACGATAACATTGGAAAGCAATGCATAAAAGGCTGATTTTTTTCAGTATTATTGCTCTCCATTTACTGTCGACAAGAGTTATATTTTTGTGCATAACGGATAACTAAGGATTTTTAGTGGCACAACCTTTTTAAGAATAAAGGCATAATGCAATGATAAAAATGTTAGCAATACTGCAAATAGACACATTAGGCACATTCATTTGAAAGCATACAGCTTTTTGTTTTAATAATGCATTGGTAGATTTTGCAACTTGCATTATACTAAAATGAGTAACTGCCTGAAAAGAATTCTTTATTTAGAGTTTGTTAACTTGTCTAGGTAATGTTGATGAGCTGGAAATTGCTGCAAAATGCTTTTAAAAACGCCCATTTAAACTCTCATTACATTTAATTGTAAAACTAAATAGTTTTATGTGCAGGGCTGAATAAAATAAAAATTAAAAAATAATAATTTAAATAAGTAATAAAAAACAATAATTCAAATAAAAATTAATAAAAATAAACCATAAAGTAAAAATAAAATGAAAATTAATGAAAAATAAAATACAAATTAATAAAAATTAAATCATTAAAATAAAAAATAAAAATAAAATTAATCAAAAAACAGAAATAAAAATTTTGGAAAAAAAAATAAAATTAATAAAAAATAAAATAATAATTAAAGTAATAAAAAATAAATAATTCAAATAAAAAATAAATAAATAAATATAATGATAATTCAAATTAAAATTTATACAAATTAGTAAAAATAAAATGAAAATTAAAATAAAACATAATAATAAAAATGTTTAATCATAATAAAAAAATTATGAAAGATAAAATAATTCAAATAAAAAGTAAGAAAAAAGAAAATAATAATTTAAATATAAATTATTGAAATAATAAAATGAATAAATAAAATAAAGTCAATAAAAATGTATAAGACCAAAAAAAAAAAAGACAAATAGTGCAGATTTGCTGGTCACGAAATGTAAAAAAATAAATTAATTAAATCCATGTCCAAAAAGTTTTATATATATATTGTTGTGGACAACAAGACACTGATAGCATTCTGAGAATAAAGGCTTTATGCAACAATAAAAATGTTGGCAACACTGCAATTAGGCACATGATGAACTGAAAATTGCTGTAAAATGCCCATTTAAGCTCTCATTACATTTAATTGTAAACTAAATTGTTTAATGTAAAGAATTTAATAAAATAAAATAAAAATAATAAAAAATAATTACATAAAAATAATAATAATATACGAAAAAACTAAATGTAAAATAGTTAAACTAAAAATGTTTTAATTTAAGGATTTATTCCCATACTACTAGTTTTGAATACTTATCTACATTTTCAATTATCATTAATGGGAAAGGAAAACCTTTAGTAGCAAACACTACTTGTTGCATTGCATTAAGTAATTTACATTTTAAATTACATTATAAACGTTGTGTCCTATAAAATTCTGTGAATTGTATTAATTTTGATCTGATTGATTTGTTTAATTGATTATTTATGATATGATTTTTATTCCTTTAATTTCCCTCTGCTTAGTCCCTCATTCATCAGGGGTCACCAGAGCTGAATGAACCTTCAATTCAATTTTCAATTATATTTAATGAAATGAATTAATAAAGCAAAATATAATCAACATTTTAAAAGTGTCAATTGAAAATAGACAGTTTAAAACAAAATAAATAAATAAATAAAACCTCAATCAGTAATTTAAGCTAAACCAGACTGTTTTTTGATGATTTGTCATGCGGATCTTTCATTTTCAGTTTGTATTTGACCGTGAGAACAGCTTTGAAGACAAACTTCATGTTTTCGTGTCCTCATGAGTGGCCAGACTGGTTGTCAATTTGATCTAAGCCATCCTTGTGTTTGCATGTTCGTAAAGCTTAGATCACCACACTCTTGGAGTCCCTTATAATACCCAACACTTAAGCATCTTTAGCTTTAATCAATACAGTTTACGGCATTAATAAATATTTTGGTTTGTGGTTTACTTTCACAATAAATTGTTTGGGTTTAAGTCTATTATAGGCTTGATCTCATTAGCATTTTCTTCTTCTTTTTTTTTTTTTTTTTTTTTTTTGCAAAAACCTAGCAGCACTAAAAAGCCAAGACAAATCTTTTCTTTAATTCCTTGCACCATGCACACAAGAAATGTACATTAACAATAATTTGCATAAATTTTCCCTATAAAACTTACTAACCACAAGAATATAAATCCATCTTGCTCACTTATGGTAGCATAGCTCAATTATGGTAGCCCTGCCTGAATGTCTAATTCGGTTCTGTACAAACTTTTGTTACAAAAAAAAAAAAAAAAAAAGTTCGGCTCTTACCTTGGGAATGCATCAAAGCAGTAGGTTTTGCGGGTGTCAGGAAAGGCCACACGTAGGCCAGACATAAGAGGTGAGTGGAGGATGACCGCTGCGCATTCGTACCGCGATGCCAGGTCTACAGTCGGCACCGTCCCTATACTCTGACCATACAGGATGATGTTTTCAGGAGTCACTCCATACCTTGAGAGGACAGAGGAGGAGGAAAACAGCTGTAAATCGTCACATTTCAAATCAGAAATCCAAGCGTGGTACAAATCTGGCATCCTCACGTCTCCATGTGGGTGAACTCGGCAGAAATGACACTGCAACACAAACATCTTGTGCTGTTTATTTGAGCTGCACTTGTGTCTATAGCAACATTATGATGTGCGGCTAAAAACATTTCCATCAAGGCATTTTGCTAGATAATCCAAATGGATGAAATGGTATGTTGGGTCAAGAACAGCAGAGAAAGCATTAAAAATATAGACACGAACATGGAAATAAACGTGGACACTTCTAAGAGCAAGTTATAAAGCTTGTGAAACAGGGCTGCCTGACTTGCAAACCTTAAATTATACACTGATAAGCATACAAGTTTCCCCTAGGTTTACAGTTTTGTTTTGTTTTTTTTTTTTGTTTTTTTTGGTGGTTGGGAATGACGTAGCTGTTCACACTCACACTGACTAAAGGAGTCGTGGACTTTTAACCCCTTCAGAACTGAATTATGTTCCGAATTTCAGAAAAATGGGATGTTATGTGATGTCCATTGTAATGGAGGCAGGGTCTGAAGGGGTTAATGACAGCAGTAAATAACTGAGTAACTAGTTGAACTGTACAACCGTTTGTAAATTATAAATAAACATTTATTTTTAATATTTTATATTCACAAACTGTGCAGCTTTTGTCACTGCAATGCATCTTTACGGGCTTCCGGAAAAACATTTTTCTGAGCCTCTTTGTATAGAAAGTCAGAAATGTCTGGCCCATTTACAGAGATATTTATTAAACATGTCTCCTATAAAAATTTAGATATGAATGTGTCATGGCCAGAAACAGCTTTACAGAAAATAATTCATCAATTCATTTTACCTCAGCCTAGAGCCTTATCAATCAGGGGTCACCAAAGCAAAATGAACCGCCAGACAAAAATAACCAACAATGCAATTTGGAAACATTGCAAATGATGAAAGATGAAAATTTGTTAAAATGCACATCTATTAATCTAATACTTGTTTACTAAATGGAAATAGGCCGTAATTGTAATTGTCAAAAACACAGAACTTTCAGTTGTTATGTGTAAAAAATAAATTAATAAATAAAAATAAATAAAAAAGGCCTAAATACATGCAAGACCATTTAAATATATTACTCTTCTAAAACTATTGACAGCAGATCACTCAATGAGAGAGAGAGAGAGAGGGGGATTTGCACTTACTATATATTTACTGCTCTGTTCATTTAAAGGGTCACGAAACAGTAAACTGTCTTTTGAAAAGCATCTCCCATGTCACAAAAACCACCTTCTTTCATGTGAGAAATATAAGTTGTGAAGCATGCCATCCACATCAGATGCAGAAAAGTTAGTTCATGCTTTTATGACTTTTAGGCTGGATTACTGTAACGCTCTGCTCGCTGGTTGCCCAGCATCCTCAATTAATAAACTTCAGTTAGTGCAAAATTCAGCTGCCAGAGTTCTTACCAGGTCTAGAAAAAATTATCATATCACCCAAGTTTTATCCTCCTTACACTGGCTGCCTATTAAGTTCCATATTAATTATAAAATATTGCTTCTTACCTATAAAGCTTTAAATAATCTAGCTCCTGTTTATCCAACAACCTTCTGTCTCGCTGCAATCCAACTCGCTCTTTAATAACTCAAAACTCAGGGCTTTTGATAGTACCCAGAATAACAAAGTCCACTAAAGGAGGTCGAGCCTTCCCATTTATGGCTCCTAAACTCTACAACAGCCTTCCTGATAATGTCCGAGACTCAGACACACTTCCACAGTTCAAAACTAGATTAAAGACCTATCTTTTTAGCAAAGCATACACACAATGCATCACATAACGGTTTGATGCATGAGTGTTCTCCATGCAGGTGCGGGCTTGACAGCCACCTGTAGGACACACTCCTTCTGTCTGAATGCACCCGGCATTTTGTTAGAAACACTCATATGCTTTACATGTTTGGTGCTATGTTTGGTTATATAACTGCTTTTTTCATTTTTGAAAAGGTTTAAAACCCCACTAAACAATGTAGTCATTTTATTTTTGGGTAAACTACTCCTTTAATATCATAATGGGTTTTGCAGAAAAACTAAATATTTCTTTAATCAGTTTCCAAATTCATGCAGCTCTACAGTGACTGAAGCTTTAACGATTTAAGATGCGCTCAAAGAAATTGCTAGAGGTGTCGAGCAAGAAGTCAAGGTGTAGACGAAGAAAAAAAAAAAGGGAAAAAAAAAACACACACACACACACACACACACCCAGATATGCTCTTTAGGTTTTCATCTTAGATTCTTCCAGCTGGCTTAGCAGTCGGTCCTGACACCTGATCAGCGGCAGCGGCTGTGAGGAGTGCACCAGGTCACACACAGAAACAAAACACATTTGATGTCTGACCTCAGATCAGGTTTTTACCGTAGGCTTGCCCAGGGCTGAGCGCAGAAAAAAGCAGCCGTGAGCTAGATATCACACAGTAGTAAACACTAGTGTTGTCAAGATGCTACAATTTTCAATACAATACATTCAAAAATATCCATACTTGATATAATGGTATAGCATTAGTAGGTAATTATATTACTTTACTATATACTAATGCAATACTATAAACTATATACTATAAACTATAATCATTAAAGATTAGGGGTGTCAAAATTAATCGTTTCTTCGGTGCACCGCGATGCAGACGCGGACAATTCAGCATCGGTTCAGTAATAATCACAACCGGTTATACTGACGTCATTTAACTTATATGCGCTCTGTCGCGAGGGAGGCGATCGTGAGTATTTACAACGCTCTAACTACTTAATACTCATAAACTGTGCACAATTTCACTGTGTGTGTTTGCTGGACCAGTCTTTCACTGACAAATACAACAATAGCCCCTATTTCACTGAGATCGAGAGAATGAAAGTAGCCTACTCCATTTCTCTCTCTCTCTCGCTTTCTCCCTCTTTTTCACACACACACACACACACACACACACACACACACACACACACACACACACACACACACACACACACACACACACACACACACACACACACACACACACACACACACACACACACACACACACACATTTGACGAGCGCGTGTCTGCAGAGTTTTCTCCACCGTGTCTATCATACATCAGCTGTGAGATCGCCGCTGCCGCCTGCTGCTTATCATTCATCTGAAGAGCGCAGCGCGCAAGAGCCAATCGCAACCGTTTTTGTTGAGGGTGTGACCAATCATGACCAATCACGACCAATCAAGAGGTGTAAAGAGAACTAGACAAGGATCAGAGAGTGAGCTGGATGTTTATATTTGTTTATATTATTTGCTAAATGCTCGTTTTGTTTAAAGTTACAGTTTATATATCTGACTGTTTGTAATAAATGACAAAATTGTATTACAAATAATATATAAATATAAATATATTCATACATTTTAATACAAGAACTGTTGCTGTGAAGAAAATATAAAACTGTGTATGGAAAGCACCGTCAATGCACCGTGAGGCACCGAAATATCGATGGCATGATAATCGCAACCGAACCGAACCGTGAGACTAGTGTAGGTTCACAGCTCTATTAAAGATCCTCTGAACATTAAAAGAAGCTTTTGATGTTATTATCAAACTGTTACACAGGGTTGGACACAAGGATATCTTGTGTGCTCAAGAAAAAGACAAAATTCACATTTAGAGAATATAAACATCCAAAGCTTGTGGTTTGTGACTTCAGTCTATAAAGATGAATGATTTTTTTGACATAACCTCATATTTCAGTTTCTCAGCAAAACTTGACCCATCAAATATTCTCAATTATGTGACATGCCCTGCCCCCTTCGAGACGCTTCTTAATTGCTGTTCATTTGATGCACTTGAGCACAACTAAATGCTAAATTGTGATAACTAAATGCGATTGGCTTTTTTTTTTTTTTTTAGAGGCGGGGTTGCTATATGTCCCACCCTTTCTACATATTTTAGTTAAGATTACATCACACATTTCAAAACACTTTGAGACTTGAGTTTGGCTCAATGTTAAGGACTTGTACTACACAGAATAGTGTTCAACACAAAAAATTCACAATTCTCAATTCAAACTTTATTATTAGTGAAAAGAACATTTTTAGCCCTCTTATAATCATTATTTTCCAAATTTCCCAAGTGCTGAAGGGAAGATTTTTTTTCAATATTTTTAAACAAAAATTTTAATAAGCAATTTCTAATAACTTATTTTGTCTTGATGTCAGTATATAATATTTTACCTTTTTACAATAAAACAACTCTCTCCTATCCATACTTCATATCCTCGCATCAAGTAGCTCAGAGTTTGACATGGGGCATCAATGAAATCCTGCTGAATGAAAGTGAAACTGCTATAAAATATTAAAAGTGAAATACCAAAAATGACATGTTTTTGTAAAGTTCAATTTGTGAAAATGAGCGTGATTTCTCATAGGAAACTGTATACAGGGATGAAGTCAGTCAGTAGAGTTTAAAGATAAATAGTTAGCAGTGTTTGCATTTTCCATTCATATCACCAAATATTTTGCAAATATTTAAAATTATGTACAAGAATACTATTTTCCATTCACATAGGTTATTAGCACATTTTTAGCAGTGTTTGCAGGTCCTTTACTGCATAGAATTCATTAAAATAGAAGCAAAATAACATTCATTACAAGTTAATTTGAAAAAGCACCTACATAGTTTTGAATTGTGATTTTTTTTAGCTGAATAAGACTCAAAAGATTCCAAATAAATGGTATAAAAATCTAGTCTCATCTCGTTCTCGTAAACCCAATCTCGTGTCATGGAGTCTCGTTACACCCCCAGTGTTTGTTTGTTTTTGTTGATTATTAATGTTAAAATGTCGGCAGCAGGTTTTGGATGCTGTCACTAATAAATTTTGTGTTTTAAAAATAGTATGAAATTTTAAAATTTTGAGATTATTTGGCATAGTAATAATAATAATAATAATA